GGCCGATAAAATAATTGGTCAGTTACGGCGTTTTTTTAATTTTTATTTATTGCATTTAGGAATGCTAAAACGACTTCGTACATGCGTTTATGTGCACCGTCGGACACTGTAAGCGCGAACACGTCGTCGGCGCTTTTCAGCATGGGGGATTACGTGCCAAACGAACGAAGGACATGTGGAAAACCAAGTGAGACGGCAAGAACTACGCAGTAACACTGGATCAGTAACTCGTTGTGCATGTACGATCAAAACAAATTCAAGACCACATAATATAGCCCAATTGTCAATAAGGAAGTACTACCTTATTCTTTCTGGTCGTGCGAATGTTTCTTCTCCGTTTAAAACATCACCCGCGCGCTCGAAATCTTTTAGAAAAAGTGCCCGATAAAAGCTGCCCGGCATAGAAAATAATAAAAAGAGACACCTTTCATAGCCCTCCTAGTTTGTTCTTTACGTCTTGAATGATTTAACTGCTCGTGAAGATGCAAGAGGGGATCATTTTCATATAGTGACAGGACTGGCACATTAGCAATATATATGATCGTCACCGGAATGCTGGCGAACCTTGAAAACACTCTCCATTCCTTTCGATTATTATTCTGCTTAGAATCCTCGCTCGTTTTTACACCCCTGCTGCGGAACACAAGTTTGGGCCCGAAATATAGCGAAGTTAAACATCTTTCACTAATGAAGAAAAGTAGGCCAACTAAAGCAATTACACTTTTACATCGTTAATAAAGGTACATACACAATTCGGTACGACCGAAATAACAAAAGTGTTCCATGCTATTTCCCGAACAGACAAAATGCACGCGCGTTTTCCCATAGGAACGCACAGGGAATGAGTACCGCAGAACTAGACTGGTTGCTGTCATGCTTCAAGTTGCGTCACGGAAATCGCATAGACACTAGCGCTAGTTGAACCTCTAGCGTGCATTATGATAACTCTTTGGGCCGTGCAGAGGGTGGATATTGGATTGGCCTAATACACCTTTCCAGTTATCGGCTTCTGCGCGCTACCGGGCTATGGGACGCGTTCTGAGCAGCTCTCTTTTGTGGAATATTGGACGCTGGGCGTGGCGTCCGCAGTCTACACTGCGTTTCAGCCAACGTTTCTAGAACAACTCAGTTGGGAAACTGCCATAGAGCCTGCTTTGAGAAAGTGGCTTCATTCCGTACTCGAGAACCGAACCAATGCCGATAGCAACGCCGCCATTTCTCCCGCAGCGGCCACTCCGGGAACTGCTCGTCTGCACGTATCGGTGCAGGTCGGGTCGCGCAAGGGCCGGTGGCGCCGTCTCGCAGTGCCATTTTGCAGTAGCGATATAAATGAACTTTCATGTTTTGAGTCGCTAAAGGGTGGCGCTGCTATCGTATTTAGTTTGGTCTCGGTGGACGCAAGCGGTTCGGGTTTCAAGGGCGAGTTTCTCAGCTGAGTGTTTTATAGCGAGTTCGTTTCACACGCACTGGCACCGTTCGAGTTCTCTCCCAGAATGCATCGCACTCAGAGAGTGTTGCACGGAAAACTGGACTCAAACGAACTCGCCAAATGCACCGAGTGCAGAAGACTGATGCTGCCGCCATCTATGTTGTAGAAAAGGTACCGACTCCAAACCGAAACTAGCGCCTTTCGGTTCGGAGTGATGCGTGGGAATGCGCGAATGCAGTCGCTACCAACGTTTATCTACAAACGTTGGTCGCTGCAACCTGTAGTTTATAGTTGCGATGACTTCAAGCAGCTCGGCTGCCGTAGAGATAGTTACAGATGGCGTAAATTTCCGCAGCCAGCTGTCTACAAAGCAGCTGGTTGCGATCTTTCAATTCTTATAACCGTTTACACTGACGAAAACTGATGATGCTGTCCGAGCAGAAGCTTGATCCGTTTGAGCATGGTATTACGGGTGAACCACTGAAGGGGTACGGCTTAAAACTAGCCTGTTGGAATATCCAGGAAAACTGGGACTTTCGATTTGGATCGTCATTATAGGTGGATCAGATATTAGCCTTGGTGAGGGCGTCGAGAACGAGAGCTTTCTCGAACAAAATACGACGGGGCAAGTTAGCTGACGTAGGTAAATGTTAAACATGATGATGTTGCCCAATCCTCAGGTAAAGTTACCATATTTAGCTTTCTCTGATGCTTATTGGGTAGTCAGAGGTTTCTGCTGGGGGAGTTTTGTTGACAAATGTTAAATTTTTCACCCGCACACGGATGGTGATAGACATCTCGGGGGCCGCTGT